AGAGCTGTAAACTAGATTGATTTGACAAGCAGTTAGTATACCTTAGCATTGTCCTACATGGTGTTGGTGGAAAGTGATGCTTAGAGATAGAGAGATAGAGGTTAACTAGAAAATTGTAAGGTACTTTTGCAAGTATATTGTGGAATGGTCTTCACCAGTAGCAGGTGTCTTCACCAGTAGCAGGTGATAAAAATGGAATGCTACAGGGTTATCTTGCTTTGGGTGCTTTGTGCTGCCTTGGTAGTGATGCTGTCATTTGAAGAGAGTCCACATTCTGCTATCAGTGACTTTCCAAAAGCTAGTATAATCCTTTCTACCTTTACAACTGGAGTGTTTACAAATATCCTTCAGGGCAGTGTTAAATGGCAAAAGCAAACTGGCTCTTTACTTTCAGATCAATATTTGTATAATTATGTAACTGAATGGAATTACAGGCCTAGATGTCTATAATATTAGTCTACATCTACTAGAGCATATTATAGCAGTTACACTTGAATTTGCTGTTTAATGTTTTTAGTTCAGCAATGTGTGACTGTAAAGGAGACTGTTTTCTGTTTTGTATGACTGTCCTGGTGTGTGACAGCTGCCCCAAAGGTATCTACCTTTGACTGCCTTCTGTTCGGGAGCTTTTAGTGTGGATTACATCTGGAGCCAGGCGACTAATGAGTTACATATTACATAGCAGATGCCATTGGTTAAGCCAAAAGTACATAGCCTATCGAATCGGAAACTGCTCCCCTCTAAGTTCTGGTCCAGAGTGACTAATGTTTCGAAGATCTCCTCCTGGTCATTTTCAGCTAGGTTAGCCGATAGTTCAGTTGGACTTTAATTTGTATTTGGAATGAAGCTAACCATAGGACCTATTTATTTGAGCAATTATGTTCTTTTTGATACTTGAATTATTAAAGTTTTCTCCTGTCCTTAGTTGAATTCATCCAGGTGGTGAAGGACTTTGAGGATTTCCGGAAGAAGTGGCAGAGAACAGACCATGAGCTGGGGAACTTTAAAGATCTTTTGATGAAAGCAGAGATTGAGCGTAGTGCTCTGGATGTTAAGCTGAGGCATGCAGGTAATCAAGTGGATGTAGAGATCAAACGGAGGCAGCGAGCTGAGGCTGAATGTGCAAAACTGGTGTGTATTGTTTTGCATGCTAGAACGTGATGGGGGCGGGGAGACAGTAGATAATGTTTCTACTTGCTAAATATACCCAGTGCCTTTTTCTACATTAAAGAATTGAAAGTTTTGTGACATCTTGCCCGTGATTGGAGCTGAAATTGCAGCCTATGACTCCGTTCTTTAGTTTGAAATTAAAATTTATTTTCTCCTTTAGACTTGAAACTGTAATTCACTAGATGGATTTCAAGTTTATCTATTATTTTTATGTGTATGAGTATACTGCCTGCATGTAGGTAAGTGCACCAGTGTCATGCAATGCCCGAGGAGGACATAAGAGGCTGTCAGATTCCCCTGGAACTGGAGTTGTGGGCAGTTGTTTGCTGCCATGTTGGTGCTGGGTTTTGAACCCAATCCTCTGCAAGAAACAGCCAGTGTTTCCAACTGCTGAGCCATCTCGACAGCTCCCAAAGCTCTAATTCTTTATCACTGTTCTGTAACTCAGGTTAAAGGCCTAGTCCTATTTACTGAGTTGAGCAATGTGACTTACATACAGCAGTTTTTTGATGTGCCGGGATGGGTCATGGTACAAAGGAAAGCTTTACTAGAAGGGACTAATCCATCTTGGTTCAGTGTTAGATGCCTCAACAAGCTCAAAGTGTCTGCATTAGAGCTTTATATCCATTTTAATGCATTTTGCCCCGCCATTTAGAAAAAATGCGTGACTGCGTTGATCTGTAAAAGAAGCCAATAACTGTCCTGATAAAAATGACACTAAAGCATTTTTGCTATGTGAAATCTGTTCTGGGACTGTCATTTTACATCACTCTTCTCTTAGATTAGCAGTCTGATCTAAAAGTCTTGTAGCAAAATCCCCACAGTTCTATATGGAGTCCATTTTACTCATCAGAAATCAGCCACAACCTGGGTTCAGTGTGAATTAATATTCTCTTGTTGTAACGCCTTCCTGAATGCCTATTTGCATAATGTTGTATTTTAATGTCTTCTCCTGTCCCATAAATTTGAGGTGAAGCTTTCTCCCTTGGCTAGTCATGATGTTTTACTTTGCTTTGGTCGGTAGGAACGACAGATTCAGCTGATTCGAGATATACTCATGTGTGACACATCTGGCAGCATTCAGCTAAGCGAGGAACAAAAATCAGCTCTTGCTTTTCTCAACCGAGGCCGACCATCCAGTGGCAATGCTGGGAACAATAGGTGGGGGACTGCATCCGTTTTCTGATCCCAGCTGTCAGGGGTTCCTGCTATCTGAGCTCTAAATAGACTGCTTCTGGAATGTACTGCTTGTGGAACATGTGCTGAAGAGAGCAGAATGACTCTGGGGGGAGGGTGGTGGGCAGAGAGAGACCCCCTATTTATTTGCTTTTATTATTTTTTAAGCTCTCCTTAAGGTGTTGTTTTGCCATGGATAAAATTTTGATGTTAGTGTTAAATTGCACATCAGTAACTAACCCTGTACATTGCTAAGAAACCAAAAGGTAAAGTGGCAGTTCAGCAAAACCTTCAATGCTTATTCTCCAGAGAGCTCTTGGAGCTTTTCTGGTTTGGAAAAGCTGCTGTGAGCTAAGACCAGACAATAATTTTGGTTGCCTAGTACCATTAAAATAGTCTCAGCCAGTCTTTGACTCAACCTCTGGTACAGCCAGAAGGAAAAGACCAGCTCTCTTAGTGTTCTTTGTTTTGTTGACTAGTTTCATGGGGGGATCTTTATAACTGAGAATATACATGAATTTTTTTTTTTGGTCTTTTTGAGTTAGGGCCTTCCTTTATCCCCAGCTAGCCTGGAACTTGCTGGGTACATCACGCTGACCTCAAACTCATAGAACTCTACCTGCCTCTGCCTCCAAGTGCTGGGATTAAAGGCGTGCACACCCAACTTTTCTCCCCACCCCCTTTTTTTTTTTTTTGTTTTGAGACAGGGTCTCCCTGTAGCCCCAGCCTGCCTGGATCTCACTATGTAGACCATGCTGGTCTCGTAGAGATCCACCTGCCTCTGCCTCCTGAGTGCTAAGACTAAAGGCATGCACCACCATACCCAGCTAGGCTTAATTTCTTTTTCCTTCCTTCCTACCTTCCTTCCTTCCTTTCCTTTTTCTTTTCTTTTCCTTTTTTAAAGCTTTTACAATTTTATTTGAATTAAAAAAAAATCCTCAGAGCAGGCAAGCTAGTAATCTTGGAAGTTGCCTTGAGGAGCAGCACGGAGAGGACAAGGCACAGGGGTCAGACACAGGGCTGGCAGCCACATGGCTGGGAGAAGGAAGATTTAGAGAAAGTAAAGAAATACAGGATGCTAGGGGCAGCCCAAAGCCTTAAAGAGAGCATGTTTAGTAAGAAAGGCATGAAGAAGAAAAAGGGAAATTAGGCCTTTCAGAAAGGCAGACAGGACTTACAGAGACTATATCACTGTGGCTTGTCTGAAGTTCTGTGCTAGTAGGCAGGATTCCAGGCAGGAAAAACTCAACAATCTCAGTTACTCATTAGGTATCCCGCCCATCTATTTAGCATGACCCGCTTTCCTAGGGGCAGTCCTATGACCAGATGATTGACCAACTAAACTTATATAAAATGGAGGTTCTAGGACATAAGTCAAATCTTTGACTTGTTTTGATTTTGAGGCTTATGTAGGTCCTTAGAACCATAATTTTGATGGCATTTGGACGCCTCTTGATCTGTCTGGTTAGACATTTTAGGAGGCAATGCTGGCAAGCTGGAGGTAAGGTCAGACGGTAGAGTGCTTGCTAGCATGCATAAGACCCTAGGTTTTGTTCCTAGCACTGTATAAATTGGGTTTAGAAGTATACATCTATAATCCAGTATTTGGGAAGTAGAGGCAGGAAGATCAGAAGTTCAAAATCATCCTCAGTTCTCAGTTTCATAGAAAGTTCAAGGGTAACCTGTGCTAGGGACCTTGTCT